AACTATTTCTGGGTTAATTAAGTTTGTTTCAAAAGCTTACTGAATGTTGGCAGCAATGCTTCTGTCATTTTTGAGCCTATAAATCAACAATTCTAATAAAACAAAAATTTTTATATCCTATTTGTAAGTATAGCTCATTTGAGTCTAGCAGAACACAAATAAACCAAAACATACAGTTGTTAGCCATTCAGCTGAGCTTTGCAGTTTCTATGCACACAAAGTTCTTGCTGTGAACTGGCTGTACACAACTGAATGAGAGCTGGAGGCCTGTATCACTGTTGACTTCTGAACCATCATCTCACTTGGCCCCCAACATCACAGAAAGCAAGTCGCACTTTATAAAGTAAAATCTACTATTTACCTCTATGTATTTTTCAGCAGCTCTTGTTTCAAAGTATACTAATGAAAGGTCTGCTCTGACTAAAACAAAGCAAACAGCACCAGCCTAGACTCAAAGATCTTGTATCATTTCAGAAAAAAAATAACAGGAAAAAAAAAGTCCTAAATGCTGCAAATTATAAACACTAAGTATTTCTCTAGTGGTTACATTCTCATCAGGACAGTTTAGAACAGGCTGAATTCCCTGTGTTTTGAAACATCTGAACAAGTTCTGCAAATCGCATTTTGTGTTTTGAACTGAAGCACAATCCCAGCACATCCAGTATTTCACATCTAATCTCAAAAAAGAAAAATTAGTCTAACAACTGTGATTTTATTGACCAGCCTCATATTGACCATAACAGATAAACATATCTTCTGCAACGTGGAATTTTATTCTAGAAATGACCAGCATTTAGTCTTACTGCATTTGCAACCTCATTTCTAGAGGCCATCATTCGATAAACAATCCAAGCCACATAAATGGCTTTGCCATTTATAAGCATGTTTGCTCATTAAAATAATAAAATAATAAAAAGGAATACAAAATGAGAAATTTTCATTCATATTTAATCAGTTTATTGCCATAAGTAGTGGCTTCCATCAAAGCAGCCTTGACTAATTCCCAACCAATAAATTATAAATAACTGTATTTCTCTGCTCATAATCCTAAAATCTTCTTGGCAGAGTCTCCTGATTTTGACCACAGAAATAATTTCAAAAGCAGTAACTTTCTGGTATTTCTGGGTTCCTTGCCATAGTCCAGGTGCAAATGTACTGTAGCTTTCCATAGTTCCAGGACTCCTTTCCATGCCATTCCAAAATACTTTACTTTCTCTATTAGCATCAACATCCAAAACACACTGTCACCCAATGATATCCAGACTTAGCACAAACAACTCTCTTGGTACCTTCCTGTATTTTTACTTCTATTTTTGACAAATATTACCACTTACAATCTGGAACTAAAGTATGCATTTCTCACAGTTAAACAGTTACTATATCAAAAGTTAAAAAAAGTAGTTAAGAAAATAATTTTTCTCTTAAATCACATGATACATCTCGAGATTATAGTTTTATGACTGTAGCCATGACAGGAACCAGTATCTATTTAATCTGCTGAAAAAGCACACCAGGCTGAGTCAGAATCTCACTAACTGAAGAACAATATTCCTGAAATCCCTTCTTTCATCACTGGTGTCAAATCCTGAAGCCCAAAACTACAAGAAACCCAAGTGGTGGACGGAGAGGAAAAGCTTATGACAAGCTTTGGAGAGAGAAATCATTAACCATTTGCATGTAGATGCTGGCCAGCAAACATGACAACTTTTGTCAAGCCTGACTTTTTTTTTTTAAAGTGAAATCCTTAAGACATGTTAGGTTTGGCATGAGAAGTATTTACATAAAAGGAATAAAGTATTTATATAACAGGAAAAGAGAGCACAGTAGTGGTTTAATCATTTAATGGTATCAGACAACTGAAGAAAGCTTAGCCTGATAAAATACTTCATATAGAAACAAGAACCACATAAATATTTTTTTATTGTTATTATTACATCTTCATGTTCGAAGAAAAACAGAACCAGAATCAGGTATTAGAAAACTGCTACATAAACATAATTAAATTTCGTGTCACTGTTTTCACACATCGTAAAATAGCCTGCCTATACATTTTTTACACTCTTCCACTCTTTGCAAGACGTAAGCTTCGATGTGTGTTCATAACAATCGGTTTTGTTCTCTTCAGGCATTTTTTTTTATTCCCTTTTATACTTCACTAAAATATTTCACTCTTCACAGAACACAGGAATCATTACTTCAGTCTCTCCTTATCCTAAGACTCTTCACAACAGCATATAAGTGTTTAACAACTGAAGCCCACCTCGCAGTCAGTGGGAGCTGGACTGGGACGTAAAACAGTCAAGACAGAAATGGGCCAATAAAATCCAGGAATCTTCAAGCTCTGGAAAGGTTGGAGCCTTATAGCCCATCACAAGCTCCCTCCTACACCCCACATGTATTTTCATACACTCTTTGGTTCTTCATCGAATTCCAAATTTTCCCTACTTCTCTACCTAAATCCAGATCTCCTCCAAAACCCCAGTATCCCATTTCCCCCCAGTCTCACCATCTATCCAACCTATCATCCTGTCAAGCAAAACTTTGATGCATTCTCTTTCCTCCTGCCATCTATTTTCTGGGCACCACTCCACCTTTCATTTCTGTTCTGGCTCCCCTTGTTTTGACTCACATAACTCCAAATGACTTCCCTCACACTTCACCAAGGTACCAGGCTGTGATTAACCAGTGGGGCAGCTTTAGTCCCGCTGTCATTCAGGTCCTACCACTGCTACACCCGCTTACGTGTGGCACAACCCAGCCTCCTCCCCTGGCTCCTTGTCTCACACAGCTGCTCCTTGCACTTCACAGCTCGTCTCTGCTACCAAAGCCAGCTTCTTCCTCCACACTACCTGCACCTAGCAAGTAAGAGAGAAAGCACCTTCCCCTATGTCCACTGGCTGAACTGGACATCACTGAGGGAAATTCTGAATTCCATAGAAATTCATCACAATTTGAGAGAGCTCAGCTTGTTCAGACTGGAGAAGAGAAGGCTCTGGGGAGACCTCAGAGCCGCTTCCAGTACTTAAAGGGGGCTACACAAAATCTGTAAGGGATTTTTTGCACAGGCATGTAGAGACAGGACAAGGGAAAGTGGCTTTAAGCTGAAAGAAGGTAGACCTAGATCAGACATTAGGAAGTAATTCTTTAAGGGTGGTGAGACGCTGGCACAGGTTCCCCAGAGCAATCTGGTCTTGTGAAAAACATCTCTGCCCATGGCAGGGGCACTGGAACCAGATATCTTTAAGGTCCCTTCCAAGCCATTCTATGGCTCTATGAAATTAGTCGCACCTAAGCTTGGCCTATCAAGTTCCCAAGTGTGCAGAAGTCTGTCAAGGATAAAGTGACCAAAGAAGGGCTCCTGAAACGGAAGATGTGGCACAACTTCTCCATGAGGGCTGCTCACCCGCCTCACCTCGAAGCCACCGGTACTTCAGAGGCACACCAGACCATGGGCACGTACACATGACTCCAGGGACATATGCAACGGCCCTGCCCAAAGAGCTGAGCCTCCTTTCCATCAGCTGAGAGACCTCCCAGCCGCGCAGCAACCTCCCGCACCGCCGCTGGTACCTCAGCGCCGGCCTCGAGCGGGGACACCAAGATGGCGTCGCCTCCCACCCGCACCTTCTCCTCCTCACCCGTCAGGGGCGCGGGCAAAGCCCCGGCGGGTCTGCTCTGTGGGCAACGGACGGCGGAGCAGCCCCCCACCTTGCGGGCCGCGGGAAGCGCCCTGTCTGCGGCGGGCCTAGCCGCAGCGGCTGAGAGGTGACGCCGGGAAACCGAGGCCACCGCCGGGCGGAGCGCTCGGCTCCAGAGGAGGCGGTGCCGCAACAGCCACCGCAGCCGCACGGTCCCCCGGGGCGGTGCGGCGCGGCCGGCCCGACCCGGCCCGGCCCTGCCCTGTCCTGCCCCGCCCAGGTGCGCGCTGCCTGGCGAAGGTGCTTAAATAGCGTCGCCGGCCGCACCACCGCAGTCCTTCGCACCGCAGCCAGGTAAGGGGGGATGCTGGGAGCCCTTCGTGGCGACCCTTTCTCGCTCTGCGCTGCCTACCGCGGGGGGGCGAGGCGCTTCTCTGGCTGCCGGGGCAGTCACAGCTTCCGCCGCGAGTCGAAAGAAGCGACCAGGCGGGCGCGAAAGCGGGGGCCGCTCCACCGGGGCAAGGGAAGCCTGGGAGTGCTGGTGCGAGGGGAGGCAGTCGCGGTGAGGAGAGGGGCACCCTGGCAGGCCCGCTTTCTGTCGGAAGGCGGGCGCTGCTGGAGGGTGGCTCGTCCCCCGGCTGACCCCCGGAGGGGGCCGCGGCGGGCGGGTGGCCGTGTGCCGTGTCTTCCAGCTGCCGGCCGGGCCGCTGCCTTCGCTGTTGTTTTTCACTCCCCTCAAGCGTGGAGGCTAGGGCATTAGCTCTGCGTCTCGCTTATCTGGGGCATAAACATCCTGCGGCAAGTAAAGCCTCCTTATCTCCCTGGAGAGCCCACCGCTCCCCACACCTCTTCCCCACCGTGTGACTGACGCCATTAGAGTGAGAGAATGAGATGTCTCTGACGGGGCCTTTACAAATTGTTCTGCTGATATACCGTGATCCAGTTACTGCTGGTGGCACACACCCGGGAAGGCACTGGTGAGAAGGTTCTTGCTGGGGTGATGGGCTGGCCCCACACCGGCAAAGTGCTGCTCCCTCACAAGAGTGGGTAAACGGGCAGCCCTGTGCCACTCCTTGCTCCAGCATGGGAGTTACGTTCTCCGGGCATGATCTGCCCTGCTGAAGACCGTAACGTGGCTTAAAAGAGTTAGTGTCTAGAAGAAAGCATTGCGGATTGGCTGATATTATCCCATGGGATGCTGTATTTACCAGATGGAGTAGCAGCTTAATTGCTTGTCTGTGAGTTGGCTGTGATTTAATGCTCCAAGCCAACCTCAAGAAATCAGGTCAGGAAGGCTTTGAGTAGCTCTGGGAGACTTGCATCTTCCTGATGGTCACTGTCATTACCCTCTCGAAGATTGGCCTGTGGCTTTTGCAACTTTGACGTACACCAGACTCGTGGGACAGACTTTCCCTGAACTTGCCAGAAATCGGTCTGTCTTGTGTTACCTCTTTGAAGAAAGTCAGCTCTGGCTTTACCTGTGTCTGTCTACCTTCTCCCCAGCCTTCCTGGAGGTACTGCAGAAAGTAGGAGCTGCTTTGTCCCAGCTCTTGGGTCCACCAGTGGGTCCTGTAAAAAGCATCCCACCTACATGCATGGGAACCTTCAGAGCACGTTACTGAATCTAGGTGCCGTCCTAGTTACCTGCAAGGCATCTAATCAGTGGGTTACCAAATCGTGCTTTGCAAGCTCCTCTATGTCCAGACATCCATTTGGGGTCCTCGCATCCAACTGTGTCATCAGGGCTTTCTTGCCAGCCAGAGTGATTGGGGAACATTTGTGAACTTTTTACTTTAGCTTTTACTTTAGCTTTAGCTGTTTTTCTCTTGTGGCCCACAGGGATTGTAGCTAGCAGCTTCTTCACAGAGCATGTTTCTGCCTGGCAGAGGTCAGAATCTCTGACTGCCGATTTGTGGTGAGAAGGATAGCTGGCACACGTGTCTGGAGACTGTCAGGATTCATCCCATCTTCTGGAAATTCCTGCTGCAGCTGCTTTCCAGCACTTCTCCAGACATTGACTTCTGCCCCACCTTCAATGGTCATAAATAACAGCATTACTCTTCTTACAGTGTGAGCTAACACAATCATTTTGTCAGTCCATATGGGCAGGTTTTTCTGTGGCATCCACTCCCTGTTTAGAGAAATCCTCCTGGGATATCAGAGTTGTATGTTCCATGAGGTGAAAGCACTGTTAGGCACTTACCCAAGAGTGTGTAAGCAAGAGATCAAATTGGTTGTGTTTGGCATCTCAGAACCTGTTAGTCCTTGTAGCCTTAATGTTGTTTGAAAGTAGAAAACTGGAAGTTCAACCTGTCAGGCATTTCCTCCTAGCTCTTAACACAAATGATTAAAAACACCATGGGGAGGGAATACTGTGGGAATGAAGGCAGTGAACTCCAGTTTAGTGTGGTTTAACCAGCTGTACTTATGGATGGGTTCTCTGCTGAATGTCAAGTTCAGAGTGCAATCTGGGGGGAAATTGTGATACGAGAAAGAACAGAAAATGGCATTTGTACAGAGGGAGTTAAGAATGGAGGAGGGAACTGAATACAGAGAGTGAGAGGAAGTGGAGAGCTCTTCATGTTTTGATATGGAAGTTAAACTGAATGAAGATGACAGGACTTTTCCTTCCAGGTAGCTTGTCCTGTCTGAAGTCATGGTTTTACTTGAAACCTACGAAGAAAAAAAAAACCACCACCAAACCAAACAAAACCAAACAAGCAAACAAACAAACAAAAAAAACACCAAACAAACCCCACCCAGCCACAATGGCAGTAGCAACTTCCCAGTAGCTGCTCAAAAATTGAAAGTATGGATTAAAACCCTTAAATAGAAAAATCTTGAAAAAAATGGCTTGTGACTTCTAATGGGTTTCCATTGTGGACTACAACTGACAGGGTATTGTAGTTTTTGAAATAAAAAGCACAGGATAGATCTGATCCTTCTGCATGAAGTCATTTGGGTGCTTTTGCAAGCAAAAGAGCAGGAATGGGGCCTTCTCTGGGAAACAAAACAGAGGGACAGCAGCATTTTAATTCTTCCAATGCTTTTAATCCTCAGTTCCTGAATTGATGTGATTGCACCTGGGTGTCAAATATCACAGTATGCTAGAGATTGGAAGGGACCTCAAAAGATCATCTAGTCCAATCCCCCTGCCGGAGCAGGAACGCCTAGATAAGGTTACACAGGAACGTGTCCAGGTGGGTTTTGAATGTCTCCAGAGAAGGAGACTCCACAACCTCCCTGAGCAGCCTGTTCCGGTGTTCTGTCACCCTCACTGAGAAGAAGTTTCTTCTCAAGTTTAAGTGGAACCTCTTGTGTTCCAGTTTGTACCCATTACCCCTTGTCCTATCATTGTTTGCCACTGAGAAGAGCCTGGCTCCATCCTCGTGACACTCCCCTTTTATATATTTATATACACTAATAAGTCACCCCTCAGTCTCCTCCAAACTATAGAGACCCAGCTCCCTCAGTCTTTCCTCATAAGGGAGATGCTCCACTCCCTTAATTATCTTAGTTGCCCTGCGCTGGACTCTCTCCAGCAGGTCCCTGTCCTTCTTAAACTGAGGGGCCCAGAACTGGACACAATATTCCAGATGAGGTCTCACCAGGGCAGAGTAGAGGGGAAGGAGGACCTCTCTCGACCTACTAACCACCCCCCTTCTAATACACCCCAGGATGCCATTGGCCTTCTTGGCCACAAGGGCACAGTGTCGGCTCATGGTCACCCTGTCGTCCACCAGGACCCCCAGGTCCCTCTCCCCTACACTGCTCTCTAACAGGTCGTTCCCCAACCTATACTGGAACCTGGGGTTGTTCCTGCCCAGATGCAGGACTCTACACTTTCCCTTGTTATATTTCATCAAGTTATTCCCTGCCCAACTCTCCAGCCTGTCCAGGTCTCACTGGATGGCAGCACAGCCTTCTGGCGTGTCGGCCACCCCTCCCAGCTTAGTGTCATCAGCAAACTTGCTGATAGTACACTCAATTCCCTCATCTAAATCATTGATGAATATATTAAATAATACTGGTCCCAGTACCAACCCTTGAGGCACTCCACTAGATACAGGCCTCCAACTAGACTCCGCCTCATAGACTACAACTCTCTGGCTTCTCTCCTTCAGCCAGTTCACAGTCCACCTCACTACCTGATCATCCAGACCACACTTCCTCAATTTAGCTGCGAGGATGCTGTGGGAGACTGTGTCAAACGCTTTGCTGAAGTCAAGGTAGACCACATCCACCGCTCTGCCATCATCCATCCACTGTGTTATTTCCTCATAAAAGGCTATGAGATTGGTCAAGCATGACTTCCCCTTGGTGAAGCCATATTGACTGCCCCTCATAACCCTCTTATCCTTGATATGCCTTAAGATGGCATGAAGGGTAAGGTGTTCCATCACTTTCCCAGGAATGGAGGTGAGGCTAACCAGTCTATAGTTACCCGGGTCCTCCTTCTTGCCCTTTTTGAAGACTGGAGTGACATTTGCTTTCCTCCAGTCCTCAGGCACCTCTCCCATTTTCCAAGACTTGGTCAAGATGATGTAGAGTGGTCTATCAATGACCTCCGCCAGTTCCCTCAGCACCCGCGGGTGCATCCCATCTGGACCCATGGATTTATGGATGTCCAGATTGCTCAACTGGTCTCTAACCCATTCCTCATCGACTAAGGCAAACCGCTCCGTTGACCTGACTTCATCTGAGGTCTCAGAGGTACAGGGCTCTTCAGGACTGCCTCCGGCAGAGTAGACAGAGACAAAGAAGGCATTCAGTAACCCTGCCATCTCTGTATCTTCTGTCACCAAGGCACCCATCCTGTTCATCAGTGGGCCTACATTGCCTCTGGTGTTAGTTTTATCTGACATGTATTTGAAAAAGCTGTATCATGTGAGTAAGTGGGAGTAAATTTATGGCCTGGTGTTTGCAGTGGAAATATTGGACAGTATGAACTCTGAAGGTTCAAGCAGAAAGTAAAAAGTCCCTGTTCCATCATTAAAACTTGTATTTTAAAATTACTGGAGTTCTGCATAATATGAATTTTGTAATGCAAGTATTACACAGAAAATTGACGAGATTGTGATGTTATTTCATGTTGAATATACCTGGCTTGGGCCAGACTTACAAAAGGATAAAGTAATATATCATTTAAGTTAAGCTCATAACCAGACTTCCTTTACAAGCTGTTTCAACTCCCTCTTTCCTCATCCTTATCTGCCACCACACTAACAGATCTTGTTCTAGCAGTTTCTGACCTAGTATTTCCATGTCTGCTCTCAGACTTCGGGTCAATGTAAAGGGAAAATTCTCTTGTGTCTGTGCCTCTGCATATATCAGATTTAATGGAAGTATTTCAAGCACATAGTCAATATAAGGCTTACTTCTTTCTTAAAATACTTCTTCTTGAAACACAAGAAATAAAGCTTAATCTTCCATTGGGTTTTCTATTGAAATTTGGTGGTAGCATAAATGAAAATTAGTCCTCCTTTGGATTTTGCAGCATTAAATCTGTGGCTTTCATCTTCAAAGCCACAACAGACTGCTCTGAATGTTCCTTCTTCTGTGGCCTGAAAGAATTAAGAAAATACGCACATGTTTCATTTCTAATGTGTGTTTTAACTTAATCTCATAACAACAAGATTGGTGGAAGAGAAGCAGACACTGTGCTGGTGTAATGAACAAATTTACAGATACTTCTTTTTAGGGGCTAAATGTTTGGATTTTGTTTTTCCCTTCATTATTTCCTTTTGTCCTAATTCACTTGTCCATGTTTTCTTCCCTGGAGTGAAATGCAAAGGAAGGATTCAGAGTTGTCTCTAATTATAGTGTATTATTGCTGCTATAATGATTAATGTGCCTCAGCAAAAAGTATCTCAAGACAGTTGAGTCTGAAACTAGGCTTTGATTGAATTTTTTCTTTTTTTGTATTTCAGAGGCGCTTTATTCAGTTTTGTGCATTTGTCGAACAGTAAATCTGAGCCACTTCAGATCAATTATAAAAATGGGGAAATTACTAGATGTGAAGGATTATGAAAAATTATGTGCAACTATGAGAAACAGTTGTATTAATTTCAGAAAGACCAGTGAAATCGAGGAAGGAGGAGTGACTAAACTAATCCAATTTCTCTGCTCAGAAGGAAAGCCTTCAAACTGGCTCCAGCTTGTGCAGTTTTGAAAGTGTGCTTGTCTAATGGTACTGAGGTTGAAATCAATCATAATTTCTTTTTTTTTTTTTTTTTTTTTTTTGTTGATATACTGACCTATCTTTAGTATTCTTTATAACCTTTTTTTTTTTTTTTTTTCCAGACTGAAACAGTGACTCTCCTACCAAGGGAACCTCAGCTAGCACGTTTTCGACCCAGTCTTAGTAGATACATAGACTAAATCCAGAACAGTGAAGAAACACTTAGCAGGCACAGTTTACAAATTAATTAACCACAGTGATGGGATGCATTAAGGGAGGTCCCTCAGTTTTGGTGTTCAAGATAGCCAGCTGGGAGACTTTGTTTCTTCCTGTAGTATGGCCTTCTTGCTGCTGCTGGTATAGTCTGTTTGCTTGCTCATTGAGCTTAGCGCTTACTGTGCCTTTTACCTGCATGCTGCTCTCTGCCTTCTCCCATGCTGCTGGCAGTCTGTTTTGACGTTCAGCAGTAATACGTCTAATAACTTCACCATTCTTGTGTCTGCTCAGCCAGTTACAAGTGGCTAAGTAAAATGACTTGATAGATTGCTTTGCGTTCCAAACGGATAATTATATGTTTGAGTGACACATGGGTTTTATGGTTGTGTTTTGTTTTCATCCCAGTGGGGCACTGCAGTTACTAAGGAGTGATGGGAAGCTTGTTGTGGCTGACATATGTTCAACAGTTTGTTTACAAAAATCACATAATACTTTGTTTTTCTTGTGGAATAACTGTTACGAAGCACATGTAAGGAGGAGTCAATCTAACTTGACTTCTAGCTTCTGGTTATCTGAATTAGTAGCAGGCCAGTGGAAGCTGGTAGAGGAAAGTCTGGATGTTAACTAACTAATAACAGTAACTAAGTAGATTCTCTGCTTCTATCTGTGACAGACTCCTCCAGTCCATACTTATCCTTTCTGATACATGCAATATATCCTGATAATATCCACCAAGAAATAGATGAGGTTATCTGTCATGGGAGGTTGTGGGTGAGGGGAAGAGGGCAGTGTTAAAACACCGCAATATGAGCGCACATAAGTAACTCCTGTACTTGTTAGGGAACAGCTTTCTTGTGGTTCATCCAGATACTATTTTCCATAGTCTGAAATTCCCCTGGGTTTCAGGTTGACTTTTGATGGATGTAGCCGCTTGGACCTGAGATCTCATGGTTATTAGTCACTGTAGTATAGAATACAGATGTCCATATGACCCCTGTAGTCCAGAGTGTCAGAGTAGCACAAACTTCCTTGTGCATAATGTCAGAAATACTTTTTGGTTTTGTTTTCCTTAGAGCTCACTGAATGGCACTAGGTCCTAACTTCGTCAGGCTTTGCCTGTCCCAGTTTGTCCACATCCAGCAGATTTGTCATCCATAAGACCATATGGACTAGCAGTATGCTTACCAATTCTAACTACTGAATGAGTGAGAGGTGAAGTACGGAGTCTTTAGTATGGATTTTTAAATTGTCTTTCTTTTTTTTCTTATGTCTTTTCAGAACAGAACCAAAATCTTCTGTGTGCTTGCTCTTGAAGCTGTATAGGACCATAAGCTGATTTAAGGAAAGAAACAGAAAAGCTTTTATTGCCTGTGGAAGGAGAAGCAAGGTTTATATGCTTTGAAAAGGTATGCATTAGAAGATTTAAAGTCCAATAATCATCAGTATTCATTTGCATCAAGCTCTCAAGAGCTCTCATTTTCTGCCATTCACTGCAGAAATTTCCCTTAGCTTTCTGCTTTCAAGGGGCGAGGTAGCCTGTCCTTGTTCCACAGATTCAGCCTTTGAAAATAATGTCCCCTTATTCATAAGACTGTGTATCTAAAGAAACAATTCCTTCAGATGTGCAGCAGCAATTGCAGGTTTTGGGTGTTTTTTTTCAGTCTACCTATAAAGCAGGTTCTGTCTTTTCATCAGCATTCAATGGCAGTAGACTCAAATAGGCCCTTTAATCCATAATGGAGGTACTACAAAACAGAAAATAGACCAAGTATATACAATACAGGCCAAGTAGCAAATGCAGAAATAAATATTGTAATGTAGCTAGTCCCACTGTTGGTTTTTTTTCTTCTTATTAATGTATTTTCATGTTCACAGATCTACTGTAGTTTTCTGCCACTAAATGCTAACAGGAAAAAAAAACAAAAAAAACCCAACTCATCTGCTTGAGAAGATTCTGTTGTAATGTATCCAGTGGCTGTTCCTGCACCAGGGGGTGAAGGAAATAATGGACAACATGGGAAACTTATTTTTTTCCTTTTTGTTTGTGGAGCTGTGTTGCTGTGCGCTGGATTCCTGCTTTCAGTCTTTATTCTACAGTCATGCCCATCTGGAACATTCAGTGACTGTAATGAGGTCCTTAAGGCTGCTGGGCCTGTGCTGGCTGTAAGTGGACTGGTTTGTATTTTACTGGCAAGATCAAGGGCCAGGTTGTATATAAGACAAAGACAGTTGCAGAATGAACAGGTGTACAGTCTTGTTTTTTGTCGTGGGAACTGTCAGTTTGCCCAATTTCTCATATTTGGATTCCTGTTTTTAACTAGTGGAATGCTAATTAGCATCTTGGGCATTTGGGTTCCTGGCTGCAGCTCCAGCTGGCACACCATACAGCTCAACCACACTGGCAGTTCTGATGTGGACCTCCAGGGCTGTGGATTCCTGTCTCTTCAAATCATGGGACCTTTGATTGTGCTCACTGGGCTGTGTTTCTTCGTGATAGCTCATGTTAAAAAGAAACAAAACTTAAATCTCAGCCAAGAATCTTGTGAAAATGAAGAACAACCTCAGAGGCCTGAACATTTTCAGGTTACAGTAGGTGGGTAAATAGTGTGTGAACTTTACATTTGAGAGTTAGTAATACGGGGGGTTTTCCCACTAATTATTTACCTCTGAATATTACTTATTTGAGGTCTAAGAATGTCAGTTCTGGTATGTCAAACCAGCCAAAACAGAAAAATGTTGTCTCATACATATTTTTGTAAGATCAGTTCAGTTACCTTTCTCTAAAAGGCAAAACCTTTGAGAGAGCAAAGGGTCTTACTATCTGTGCAAAAGAAGCTACGTAATCAAACACAAATGAGTCCAACCCATTTTCCTTTCCCAGAGGGTGTAGATGACACTGCAAATCACAGGTGTGTTGACTTCTGTGACTTTATTTAAGATTTAAGCTCTGACCCCCAAAACCAGGAAAATCTGTTTTGTAGGAAGTGTGCTATATTTCTTCTAATCATGGCCACATCTTCCATTGGTCAGAAATGTAATTGCAAAATGCTTCTGTAGTTGCACAGTATTTGAGTAAATGTGGTATGATGGCAGGGAATGCTCCCTTGCATATACCACTGCTTTTAATATCCTGTGAACACATTCTATACATAGGTTATTCTGATAACTTTTCTACCTCTCAAAAATGATTAGTCAATCATAATATTGCTTGACTGTCATCTGACTGGACTTGAAATTCGTTATGCAAAACCTTTTTCTTTCTGCCTGTCAAACCGGTGTACAGACCTCTAACCTGGTGACCCTTAGAAGATGGGAAGGTGTAAAGTCAGTTTTCCAGAGACCAGGACAAATCAAAGGGTCATAAAAAGGAATTCAGATTGTTTTTAAAGGTGAGGAAGCAAAATTAGTGGATTCATTTTATATTTCCATGAGGAACAGGAAAACACAGGCTGAAGGCTGAGGTCTGGTTGACATTGTGGCATTCTGGAACGATGGTGACTCAGCTAAAAAATACCACCACCTTACTCAATATATTTGATGCTCCTTGACCTGTCCCTGCAGACAAATTACAAAGGAAGAAAGGTGGCAGGCAGCTGTGAATGTCAGTATAAATCATGCAGTGAATGATAGATACAAACTTTCTGTTTAAATTAAAAATTAAATAATTGAAACTCTTTGATTATGAAGTTGATATTGACAGATATGCTGCGCAGTACACTTAATAGTGAATCGTGCATCAATAGCATTGTGGTATTAATATGACTTGAATACTTTTGTTACAACTCTGCAGTACTGTGGAAAAACTTAAGATGAACTATTTTAGATATGTGAGGAAAACTAAATATTTCCCTATCCTTAAAGTGAGCCAACAGTAACTGTGCCTTGCACTTCCAGTTTCTGTATTTAGCCAACAGTGAAGAGGTTTGTGTCTGTTAGCTAGATGGAGCACTTCCGCTCCCTACCTGGTATTTTCTAAATGAAATCTTCCATTTGTCAATGTGCCACATCTTTATTCTGGGATAATTTTGATTTTGAATGTACCTCCAATGTACTTTAACAGCCCAGAATATAACAGTTCTGTATGTGTGATTGTTGCTCTTTATCTTAAAAGGTAGACAAAGTAATTCCAAAGATAGGAAATATTTTTGGATACAGTTATAATAAACAGTGGTGTTCAGTTTTTCAGAGGTAGTAATCAGTGGGTTTTTTTTTCCCTAGGTGATGCTGTAATGATATTCCCACCTCCACCACCTCCTTATTTTGCTGATCCTGTGTCACCAACTGTAACACATTGTCTTATGTCAAGCAGTTTGCCTACAGGTGAAAATCCCCCACCATACCATTCTATCTTCAGTGATGGGTAAGACTGTTTTCTTCTCTGTCTTTGGAAATATGGGCTGCTTCTCAAGGTATCTAAGACCACATTCTAAATTAATCACTGTGAATTAACTCTCTGCTAGGCACTACAAAGTTTTGTAGTGTGTCATTGGACTTGCTTCAGATACCTTACTTGAAATAGCATTAAAATATCCTGGTATGAAAGGGCAATCACAAACCACAGAGTGTCCTTTAAGGGAGTTAAATTCTTACCAGTTCATTGTGACTGAAAAGAACTTTGATGAAGTAAAAACAAAGCCTTAAATAAATATAGTCAGATAAGGTTTCTTCCACAGATTGTCCAAGAGAAGGTGCCCCTGCCAGCAGTGCTTCAGTGTGATGATACCTGCACTCAGAGATTTTTCTCTGTAGAACCAATGCAGTGAGCCCTTAATGACACCTACTCCCAGGTCCTGTGACCCTGGCAACTCCACTTCAGTGGCTTCTGTTCCCTCTGTGACCATTAGCTTACTGCCTTGAGGAAGTGAGACCTGCTGGTCTGCCTTGTTCCAGCTGTGTCAGTGTGTGAAGATAAAAGGATATGGCAGAGAAGAGCAGGAGGAGCTTTAAAAGGAAGGTTGCAATGCCAGCTTCATGTCAAGGTGTTGTACCTTACCCATGCAGCCTATCTTCCATAGGTTGAGAACAGCTGATTTGCTAGATGCTGCCACTACCAAGCTGTGGGAAGGAGAGCTGCCAAGTGACTGAAAACTTCCAGTCTACAGTGGAAGAACTTCTAGGGTTATCTATCCCCTGTGGGTTACCACCAATGGGCTGCTAACTTGGAGGTGAAAGAGGTACTGCAAGGACCACATACTAGGAGCCAGAATTACATCAGTCCAGGACAACTAGATGCCACATGCCTAGAGCCCCCAACTCATTTTCAGGGCTTTCATGATCCAGAATTGACTTTGCCTTTAGGGAGGTCCTATGTCAGCTTATTTTTGATCTGTGAGTCAGTGGGTAGTGTGGTACTTCATTGGATGACTTCAGTTTACAACCTGCAGCATCTTAAGCACCATCATTGCGGAAAAACTCCAGCCTGCCCGCCTGTGTCCAGTCCTCGTAGTTGTTGGTCCATTGCTTTAATAACTTTCCACTGTACTCCAGGTTTCTCTACTCACACAAGGCAGTGTATTCCATGACCAGCTGTGTGCCTGATGTCGGCACACTTTAAAACTTATGCTAATCTTCCTTTTGAAGTGAGCAAGCATGAACCTTCTTCCTGCCCAAAGTCCTAAATGCCACAGCAGGAGGATACTTGTGTTAGAAGTGGTGCTTATTCTTGTACCACACTGTGTGCTGCAACGTCTCTGGTTTTTCAGTCATCCTTTGAAGTGTACCTGGTGGATTCTTGAGGGTCAGCCCCACTGTGCAAGGCACTGTTCTCTAGTCAATCATTATCAACAGCTCCTCATACTGTCTTTAACTTCCTAGTGCCCTCCTCCAAACATTTCCTTTCCATCTTTGCTGGAGACAGCAGATGCCTTCTTCTGTTGCTATTATTACAAGCCAGACCATTTTTCTGCTTTTTCTCAAAATCACTGTGTTGCATTTTTTTAACATAAACACCTCTATCAAAACCCCTACTCAGTCTTCTTGATGACTGATGTAGCACTCTTTCTAGTGCACAGTGGGACCAGCCCCCAAACAAAATAAAATGGTCATTTACATACCACCTAGGGAAGGAAGACGCTCGGTGTTTGGTTCCCACTGACTGAGGTCCAGCTTGAGATTGATGATGTGTGCTGAGGGATACAAGGCCTAATAAATCCTAGCTATGCACACAGTTAATGGTCTGAGGGTTTTCCACTTAAATTGTTTCAGAGAAAGTACTTTTTGTACAAAACTGATGAGAACCTAATGATTACTCAGGGCCATAAACACGTGCCAATTCAGGATGGCAAGGGCGGATGTAAGTATGAGAAGATACTGGGCTGATCAAGTGAAAGTACTTTCCAGAGAGCAGTGACTCTCATGGCCAGGGATAAATTGTTGTGCAAAAAACCACTTTATTTCGTTAAGTATAAAAGTCTTTGCCTGCTCTCAGATTGCAAGTGTAATGTATCAGCTCTCAGAGCTATATCATTGCAATTAAAGGATGGCCAGACCAAGCAGGAGAGAAAATAAACTGCTGCTACTGAAAGAAGAAATTTACATGAGCTATCTGTGTCCTGATTGGGCTGGGTGAAGGTGTCCACAGCTGGAAGGTGTTTCATGCCAGCTGCTGCTAGTCTAGAGTTAGGCATCAGACATGAGCATGTCTATGTCCAGCACGCGCTGTAACTCTCTTCTGGCATGTACATCCCAGATGTACACACAAAGCAAATGGATGTATGTGGAGAAATTATTTGCCCTGAGTGTGAACCTGAACCTCCAATAGCTCTGAGACAGCCAATCCAAATATGGTCCAAGAGCACGCTCAAAAAACACTGTTTAAATACATTTAGAAGACCAGGCTGGAGTGGATAATTGGGATGAATACAGGAACACCCATGTTCTGCTGTAGCCTTGCAAGCATACGGGAGAGAGAGTGTGACTCTTGTACCACATGTCTATAAGTACAGTGCAGTAAACTGGGGGACACAAGTGCTCATTACCCTTGATTTCAGGCCCTGAGTTCAGATGTGGGCTGCCTACCCATGTGTTTGGTAAAATATGTAGATTACCAAAAGCTGTGAAGGGATGGAAGCAGTGCATCCTACTGAGAAACAGAAAACAAAGGGTGGTGGGGGAATGTCAAAACCAATAGCTCCTCACACTTCTTGTGGGCTCTCCCTGCTGATGCACATACAGGTTACCCCTCTCTTTCATCCATTCTCCTACAAAATCCCCTGCAGCTGGATCAGCTGCGTCAGTCCATTAACGTCCAGTTCTTGTGCTCTGAACTTTGTACGTGATCACAATTAATTCTTGTTGCTTGCCTATCTGGACTTCTCCATCTTGTGAACATATGTACACAAAATGGCAGTTTGTAGCTTAGCTTGTTTTAGTGGAGTGGACAAAAGACCTCAACATTGGATGCTGAAACCTTGACCTCTTGCTTCAATGTTCTGTGTCTGGGGGTGATCAAACTGTTGCCCTTCAGTGCTTCCCAGGGTCTTCACAGAGCCCCTGTGAGCTGATACCCCTCGTCTCTGGGCATTTCACTCAGTCACGCTCTTTCATGGTGCAGAGCTTGGTCACGGCCACAGCATCTTGACTACTGCAAATTGGTTCCCTAGCCCTTTTCATGGAAGAGCAGCAGAGGCCTTGTTCTTCCTAGCATGGTGCCATGGCTGAAGATCCCAAAGCTGGAAGGGAATGCCCATTTCATATGTGAGTGGTTACTAGGCAAATGTGATTTCATTTTTGAGTCCATTGCTCCATGTTCTGTCAGCAAGTGCTGTACCAGACGCTGTGCTGAATGAGGGAGCTTGTAGGAAGCTGAGTCATGGTCTGATCCCAGACATGGTTGGTTTTGTACTGCAGTCTGTTAGATAGCACTTCAGCATTCATCTTTTAGTATGTTCACTCTGCTTTAAGCACACACCTTCACACACCAGTAGCACCACTAAAGATAAGGTGCTCTGTATTCCTGCTCCTCACAGTATTGGTGGGTGATGAGATGTACCCACAAGGGCAAGTGTCAGTTCTTGGAGTGAGTCACAGTATCACAGTATCACAGTATGTCAGAGATTGGAAGGGACCTCAAAAGATCATCTAGTCCAATCCCCCTGCCGGAGCAGGAACACCTAGATAAGGTTACACAGGAACGTGTCCAGGTGGGTTTTGAATGTCTCCAAAGAAGGAGATTCCACAACCTCCCTGGGCAGCCTGTTCCAGTGTTCCGTCACCCTCACTGAGAAGAAGTTTCTTCTCAGGTTTAAGTGGAACCTCTTGTGCTCCAATTTGTACCCATTACCCCTTGTCCTTTCATTGTTTGCCACTGAGAAGAGCCTGGCTCCATCCTCGTGACACTCCCCCTTTATATATTTATATACACTAATAAGGTCACCCCTTAATCTCCTCTTCTCCAAACTATAGAGACCCAGCTCCCTCAGTCTTTCCTCATAAGGGAGATGCTCCACTCCCTTAATCATCTTAGTTGCCCTGCGCTGGACTCTCTCCAGCAGGTCCCTGTCCTTCTTAAACTGAGGGGCCCAGAACTGGACACAATATTCCAGATGCGGTCTCACCAGGGCAGAGTAGAGGGGAAGGAGGACCTCTCTCGACCTACTAACCACCCCCCTTCTAATACACCCCAGGATGCCATTGGCCTTCTTGGCCACAAGGGCACAGTGTCGGCTCATGGTCACCCTGTCGTCCACCAGGACCCCCAGGTCCCTCTCCCCTACACTGCTCTCTAACAGGTCGTTCCCCAGCCTATACTGGAACCTGGGGTTGTTCTTGCCCAGATGCAGGACTCTACACTTTCCCTTGTTATGTTTCATCAAGTTATTCCCCGCCCAGCTCTCCAGCCTGTCCAGGTCTCACTGGATGGCAGCACAGCCTTCTGGCGTGTCGGCCACCCCTCCCAGCTTAGTGTCATCAGCAAACTTGCTGATAGTACACTCAATTCCCTCATCTAAATCGTTGATGAATATATTAAATAATACTGGTCCCAGTACCAACCCTTGAGGCACTCCACTAGATACAGGCCTCCAACTAGACTCCGCCTCATAGACTACAACTCTCTGGCTTCTCTCCTTCAGCCAGTTCACAGTCCACCTCACTACCTGATCATCCAGACCACACTTCCTCAATTTAGCTGCGAGGATGCTGTGGGAGACCGTGTCAACCGCTTTGCTGAAGTCAAGGTAGACCACATCCACCGCTCTACCATCATCCATCCACCGTGTTATTTCCTCATAAAAGGCTACGAGATTGGTCAAGCACGACTTCCCCTTAGTGAAGCCATGTTGACTGCCCCTCATAACCCTCTTATCCTTGATATGCCTTAAGATGGCACCAAGGATAAGGTGTTCCATCACTTTCCCAGGAATGGAGGTGAGGCTAACCGGTCTATAGTTACCCGGGTCCTCCTTCTTGCCCTTTTTGAAGACAGGAGTGACATTTGCTTTCCTCCAGTCCTCAGGCACCTCTCCCGTTTCCCAAGACTTGGTAAAGATGATGGAGAGCGGTCTAGCAATGACCTCAGCCAGTTCCCTCAGCACCCGCGGGTGCATCCCATCTGGACCCATGGATTTATGGATGTCCAGATTGCTCAACTGGTCTTTAACCCATTCCTCATCGACTAAGGCAGACCGCTCCGTTGACCTATCTTCATCTGGGGTCTCAGCGGTACAGGGCTCTTCAGGACTGCCTCCAGCAGACTAGACAGAGACAAAGAAGTCATTCAGTAACTCTGCCATCTCTGCATCTTCTGTCACCAGGGCACCCGTCCCGTTCATCAGCGGGCCTACATTGCCTCTGGTGTTAGTTTTATCTGCCATGTATTTGAAAAAGCTCTTTCTGCTGTCCTTGACCCCTCTCGCCAGCTTTAATTCCAAGGAGGCCTTAGCCATCCTAGCAGCTTTCCTACATCCTCTAGCAGCAGCCTTATATTCTTCCCAAGTGGCCAGCCCTTCTTTCCATGACCTGTAAACTCTCCTCTTCCACTTGAGCATACTGAGCAATTCCCTATTTAGCCACACAGGTCTCCTGACCCTCTTCCTCGACTTCCTACATGTCGGGATGCTCCGATCTTGAGCTCGGAAAAAGCAGTCCTTGAACGTCAACCAACTATCTTGGGCCCCTTTACCTTCAAGCAGCCTAGCCCACTGGATTTCCCCTAGCAATCGCTTGAAGAGGCCAAAGTTTGCCCTGCTAAAGTCCAGGGTTGCGATTCTACTTGCTATTCATAAAGAATGAGTTCTTCCCTTCCCTTGGGAAGCAGACGAAGCAACATGCTGAGGGCCAACCAACTCCAGGGTGAGATGAGCAGGGTGCCAGAGCCATGTGTTTACAACTGATGGGATCTAGGTATGATGGTCAGAGGATGGTAATGAATATTTGGCTGCCCTCCTTGACTGTCACTGGGAACTTGTCGGTCTGGTCGTGTCCAATTCAGTTTCTCCAGCTCTGAGCAGGATTGCTACTCCGTATGTCTGTCGTGGGTTGCTGGAAAGCTTAATAGAAGTTTCAATTTGCCTTTCATGTAAGATCTCAAATGGCTAAGGATTGTGATTTTGCAATGCGATTCTAAGTCATTTAATTTCACAAGGGAAGGGGACAGCGTATATGTGATAGACTACAAAAGGGAAGATACATCAGGAGCTAAGGATCAGAAGATTTAGTAAGATTATGAGATAGCTCTGCTAGAAGCCCTTAATACCCATAAGCCAGGCTGTGACTGGTGATGTGAAAAGCTAGAAAGGAGCTTGTTTGCCCTTCCCTTCTGAAGTAATAGAATTTTCATGTGCATCCTAATGTAGCCTAGGGAATGAAATCCTAATGCTTATGCAAGTTATTTGCTCTAGGGATTTTTAGGGAGCGTGTGCATACATGTATGTTTACATAAGTCAAGTGGAATTTCACTCACTGTAGAGAAATTAATTATGCTAATATGCAGTTTTGTGTTTTTGTAGAGCACAGCTTGCAGACGATGAAAGAACAGTTGCTGTTAGAGACTATGAAACCATATATACAATTTCTGGAAGCAGCTCACCTTCAGATATTTTACCAGTGCTATACCTCTCCTCTGAATCGCCTCCAAAATACGAAGAAAAAGCATCAATAACAAATAATGAATATTCTTCATCTTCTTCATCTACTTCCTTAGTTCTATCTGACACCAGCTCATAAAGGACTGTCAGTTAGACTTAATTTTTAAATTAAATTGTACATTCAGATTTACAATTTTTGAATTTATTTACATTTTATAATAAAAAAATGTTATCTGTGTCTAATTTTTCATCAAAAAGCATAAACAATGAATTTGGGCTTCAAGGAATATTAGATAATGCTGGGCTTCTTGAGCAAGTAGTCTGAAGGGATTCAGTTCACTGTAAGAATGTTAAATGTTCATCTTGTTCTGTTACAGCTTCAATTTCTATTTTTAGTTGTTGATATAGTGGAGGCACTAAGTAGAAACCAACTTTTTTTCTTATTTTAATTAAATCTGGAGCTTCAAAAAGAAATAATTAGGAAGTGGTTTTGTTTCTATTTTTGCATGACTTGTGGAAAATACTGATTTGCACAGTTACTGGCTTTATGTATTCTCTGAGAACATCACAAAAGGGGATGTTTAAGATTGGGATCAAGTATGTTATGGAGAACTTGAATGGTTAGTTTTTGGTCTGCCTGGTAATAAACATTCCATAGCTTAATTTAGACCCTCTCTGGTACTTATATAAGTATAATCCCTAGGAAGATCCTTTTTAACAAGCAGTTAAGAGCCCTAAAGCAGCACGGAGGGTAGTTAATAGGCTAACAGTTTAACTGTGATAATGACTGATTTCAGAGGGGTTATACAGCTGTTACATATATCATCATTCATAGTTTACACAAGGAATGTTTATTTTGTGAGAGTGAGCACCACTCAGCCCGATATGCTCCAGATGCAGATGTTACTTACCAGCAAATGCAAGAGAGGCACTTTCACGGAAAAGCATGCGGTGGATATTTTTACCTGACATAGGACTTGACAGACCCTTCAGAAAACAGCTCCCTTAGCGCTTGTGTGCCTGTGCAGCCCCTAAGCAGTAGCTGCCTGCCTTCAGGGTGGAGGGACGACAGGTTCTAGTTCTATTACCCCATTGTTTGCACCTATTCCTGAACTGGGGGATTTGCTTGTAGTAGGTAAGGGTAATGATCAGGAACTGAGTTGCTTCTAACACTTCACGACTTACTCTGAACCCCATTTGAGAAAAATAGACCTTGTTCTGTGCCCAGAAGCAGAAGGTGGGAGAGCTACTGTTCTGACTTGGTTCAGCACGGTAAACTTAACCAGAATTAATACATCTTGCAAGAGTGACCTCTGTCTTGTTTAGCTGGCACTCAACACCTGCATGCTCTGGGACCTCAGCTACACCTCAGCTTGTCTTCTTTCTGCCTTGCTGAATTTCAGGGAACATGGCTGTAGCAGAATGCAAGCTTGAAGTACTCGAGTTCCTTCCTGTGCCCAGGGAAAGGTGATTGCTTCCTGTCATCTTTCTGTGAAGGTGCCTCTCACCTGCAGGGTTCTTTGGAGACGTTCAGGAGCTCCTGGGTGTGGCTATTTATTTACGCTCCTGTGTTGTTCCCTCAGTTGTGCTAGGGCTGCTCTTTGTGCAGCTACACAAAAACAAACCAGCCAGTGAGGGAGGTATATTTAGCCAGCAATAGAGCTGAGGGGCTTACACATGCAAAGTAATGAGAGAATGCAGCACAGAGGGATTTGGTATGTGGGAGCTGATTGAACTGGCATGACTCAGCCGTGGGAAATGTCTATATGACGAAAGGGGATCCACAAAAGCCAGCGTTTCGTCATCTCTTCTCTGAAGTGTTTTTTACCTAGTGAGTTTTTCAAGGATGCTGTTCCGTGAATGCCTTCTGTAATCCAAGCTATGGTTCACCATATTTTTGATTTATTTTTTTTTAAGCTTTTGTTTCTAACCTGATATTTAACAGTGGTGCCCACTGGCATGCTTCATTCATGAATACAAAGCCTTGCACATGTCAAAGACGCTTGTCTCTCTGGATTTGTTATGCAAATTACATAGCAAGTAAAAAAACTGGGGTATTTTACCTAAAAGATCCTAAGCAAAGACCTACATTGGCTTTGTTCTGTTGTTTGAATTACAAATGAACACTCACTCATCAAAAAGTATTTAAACAAATCTTGAAATATGTCACCATGTTAAAAAAATAGTCACATCTAATTGCTCTACTCTATAGGTATTAAACTTTTGTGCTGCCTGCAATTTGCACCATCAATTTTTCCCAAGATGTACCCGAGAGACCAGACAAATCAAGTAGAATATGTTGTGGCTGATCTGAGACCCCTGGAACTGAAACATGATCTTGTTCTATTTCAGGGTTATTGTGTTTTGATCTGTACTGAAGAGTCTCCAGTATGGATCCCTTTATTTCTAAAAAAGCAGTCTTCAAGGAAAGCATGCTTTAGAAAGCGGCTGACCTGACTCTTTGGAGTCAGCACCTGAACTTCCCTGGAAGGGTAGGTGTTACTTATCTCTGGAAATGAGGACTGAAGACAAGTGTTTGTACTGTTTTGAGAAGGTGCTTAGGAAATAGCTTGGTGTACAGCTGTATTAGCTTATTATTATTATTAGCAGTATTATTTTTGACTTGGAGAATCGCTCCTTGAAAACTCAGCGGATGTGCTGGCTGCATCTTCATAAACTGCTCAGCACTGTGAGAGCTAACATAGCCAGGCCAGCAGTGTTTGCTTACTGTGTTGTCAAAATCTGTTTTCAGCAAGGTCAGAAAATGTGAGTAAGAGTCTATCAGATTTGCCTCAGACACTGAGGGCTACCACTGGGTGAACAGTATTAGTGGGAGGAATTTCTGATGTGGGGAGTAGGGGTGAAATGCCTGTATTAGAAAGGAAGCAACACCTTGTAAAACTATAAAAGTAGCTTAAAATAATACAGAGTAGCTTTTTTATTGAGGAAGTGAGATACTTTACTGTCACACTAATGGTGCTATAACCCTGTTTCTGCCCAATGGTTAGCTTAAGTGCTTGACATACAAATGCTAGGAAGCAAATCAAGTTGGTTACTGATTCACACTTACTTAAACAGGCAAAGTGGGAGGTAAGGACTGCTTATCCTCTGTAGGTGAAGTTAAGGTCTCTCTTCCTTGCTGCCTGCACTGACATTGTTCTGCTTCCAACTGCGACAGTACCATCCTTTGGATATGAGAAGGATTCATGAAAATATAAATGGATGCCTCTTCTCTACAGGAAATCTTTCTGCATCAGCAGCAGCTAAAAAGAGGAAGCTAACTCATCTGAAAAACTGAGATATCATAGATGTCTGCAATTATGCTATGTTTTTAGGATAGCAACAGTCACTTGATGCACCCCTCCCATTGTTGCTCTTTTGGTTGGTAGTGCTGTATCCATCTATCTGTTTTCCATCCTGCCTTTTCAGAGTAGTGGCTCCCAGGGCATTTCTGTGCCCAGGCAGACTTTTGTGTCAATACCTCCGTGTTTCTGGTGCAAATGTGTCAGCCTTCGTCTAGAACTGTGCTCTTTCATCTATCATGCGTGTATGTATCTGGATAATAAGGCATGAAAATAGGTTCAATTTGGTGTGCCTGTTAACAAGATGGCACTCCCCAGGAGCACATAAAACTGTCTTGCAGGTAGATGTGGTTGTGGGCAGCTGGCTGAGCCTGCTCCTCGCAGCTTATTTACGCTTTGAGGGTGGCAGTGCAGTAATACAGGGACCAAGTGTGCAAGGCTCATTTGTGATGGTTCTTCAGGTACTGCTCTTACACATGATTTGTGTTGCTTTCATTAAAAATGCTTCTGTCCCTAGGAAAAAGTCTCTCTCAGACAAATCATTGGCTTCTTTATCTCCCTACAATTGAATGTTCCATTACGGAGCGATGATTTGTACCTAACTCTTTTTAAAGTCACTCAGTGTGCAATACCATGGTATAATATACTTTTATACATTATCTTTTGCATGGGCTGTGGCTAAGTCCCTGACTATAGTACAGGCACATAAGAAAGTAAAACCTCACTACAATGGGCTGATTAATGTGAACAGTTATGTAAAAACAAATAGCAGAAGGAGAAGAGGAAAGGATCAAGTGAAGGCCTGCCAGTACTAAGATTACTCGAAACAAGTTAGAGAACTTAGGAGGTGCAGAGCATTACAGAAAATCTACTTCCAGCAGCAAGCAATATTTGGTAATATAAAATTGTATAGAGAACAGAAAGCAAAGCAGTGCTTGTGTTTAGGGTTAAGGTCCCTGAAGCATCTGGGAAGAAAACTGTAGACATCTGGAAACACCACTCATTCTGAAAATCTCAGTCTCACCAATTTGTTAGGTTTTACAAAACATTTGTTTATGAGTAATTCCAGGTAACAGGGGATGTATTTAATAAATGAGCATATTTAAGTGAATCCCCAGAATATACACATACTTGACAAAGGGAAGTACTGCACTTAAAAAATCAATGTGATCCGGTAATCTCTTAAAACCTTTATATCTGCCCAAATGCAACATTGCCACTCTCTGGGGAAATAATGAGAGAAATCTGGGGAGGTTTAGAGGAAACTCTTACCTTACAGGGAGGCAACAGTTTACAGGAAGATGTGTCATTTTAATTTAGATCCTACAACACCATACAGAAAGTGTCTTCTATCCAATTTTCTAAGTTCAAGCGACAAGTAGTCTTGGAAGAAACCACCTGTATTCTCCAGCTCTACTGTTTACTTACTCAACAACCATGAATTCGTGTCCTAGGCCAGAGGCAAAGAGCATCAACCATGGGATGGTGTAACATTCAGCTTGGAAAACTCTGACTCCAGCCAGCATCTAAGGACTATTACGTAGGTTTGAGGAAGTGCTCCACCACAATCCTGATGCCGGCAGCAGCTGCTGAATTCTTGAATGAGTGGGAGGAGGGAGGTGGCACTACATCTGTACATATCATTACTTAGACAACTATTATGATATAATGCTTGCTTTTAAAATGATGTTGGAAAGCCTGGAAGATTCAGCAAGCAGTGACAAGAATGATTCATGGTATGGAAAAAACTGACTTGCAGAGAGCAGTAACAGAAGTTCATTCCATTAAGTTTACCAAATATAACGTTAAAGGTGACTTATGTTTTGGCTATAATTGCCAATACAAGGACAGCTTAGCTAGTATTTCAGCACTTTCTGATTTAGTTGTCATATATGAAACCACTGCATTGCAAGCCCTAACTCTTTGCTCAAGTGATGACTGACCCGATGCTGTGGGAAAGGCTGATATTGAGTGTATTTGCCAGAAAATTTATTGGCACCCTTGGTAATAGAAGATATTATACTGACTTTGGAGACTTCACAGACATTTTCTAAAGGAATTCAGTGCTGATATTCCTCAAGGTCTATCTGCTAACAAATGAGAAATTCCCATCTGCAATTGCATTCAGTTCCAAAGGTGCCAAAATCAGTGAGCAGCCCTTTCAGAAGTGAGCTGTTGTCACACTGTGATATGAAGGTACAATAGACTAAAGGCACCTTTACTGATTTTGAAGAAGCAGTCTGAAAGGTGAGTTTTCTAGTTCTAGAGCTATTTACATCTTATAAATATCAGGATAAGCCTGCTTCCCCAGAGCTGCTGGTAGCAGAAAATAGCATTTTATGTTCTACCACATGAGTAGTAATCTCTGTCCTGTGTGTACTCCCCTGACAAGCAAGTCAAAACAGATTGAGTAGTTGGAGATTTTTCTTCCTTAATGAATTATACAAAGATATTCTACCAGAACCCTCCATCAGCAAATACTTTGGTCTGAAACTGTTAGGAAATAGAAAATCTCAGTATTCAATTAAGTTGTCTGTTTAATATATGGGACATAAGTTCAACAGAACAGTTCATTGTGATGTAAAAAAAAAAATGTTCTAGACACTACTAGGTACAGGATAAGGTCCCTCACTTTACCAGGTTAAACATTGCAGGAGATGCTTTCTCATTCCTGCAGCGGTGTGCTATTCAGGATATGTGAGCTTTATTCAGTGTAAACTTTGAGAAAGGGGTGGAGATCCCACAACAAAAACTGTCCACAGTTAAGGGGAAATTGCAGAGCAATTAATGCTACCTTCAAACAGCTGGAAAGCTTTGGCTGGCTTGAAACAACCTTTCTCCCACAACAGCAGCTCTCCCAAGGCTGTTCAGCGCTCAGCACCCTGTTGCTGGTTACCCTCCCACCACAGCCCCTTGGCAAACTATCAGAAAGCCTACTTCGGTATTTTTTAAACCACAGAGGGTCTGGACTGCAGAGCAAGCTGCAACAGAGGTGCAAGTGTGGCTGTAAATGTCATGCTTCAGAGCACTCCAAAGTACTGCCAGCAATGCCCATGCGTATTCCTGCAGAAAATGGAGCTGGAAGTGATGGCCCAAGGAGAGCAAGAGTTGCCACGCTGTTGTTGATTAAACACATGGACAGTGTGTTGTCCATATGTTGGCTGCGTCAGCTGGCAGGGGGCCTAGGAAAAGCTGCAGTGGCTGCAGCTTCCTTTCTCTCCCATCTGACATGGGCACAGCGAGGAAGTATCAGCAGGTGCCAAATTATAGAAAAGGATAAACAAAGAGATAAGAAACCATGCAAGGGTGAAGCCATTTCGGAAGTGATGGTGGTAATTCAAGGAGTCTTTAGTGACTGCTTCAGGCTTCACTTCCCAGACCTTTATTCTTCTAAGCAAAGTTCTTTCACATGGTGGACTCTGTTAACCATATACACACACAAGTTCTTGTATAACTAACCCGAACCTTCAACCTTAAAAGCTCTGCCAAGTTTCTTACAAGCCCCTTTTCCCTTGAGGCAGAAGAGACATTATATTCAGAAATGGAGCCGAACAGCAACAGTGTAGAAGATTTCTCCTTGAATGTCTTTTCTGTCACTCCTTGTCAGTCAAACATATCCGATGCCCTGGTGTCAGATGGGGATAAAGCTGGTGCTACTCTGCTCTTTTCAGGTGTGTTTTTGGGACTGGTGGGGATCACTTTCACCGTGATGGGATGGATAAAATATGATGGCATTACTCACCTGGAGTGGACTCAGTTACTAGGGCCTATTCTGCTGTCTGTTGGGGTAACTTTTATTCTGATTGCTGTTTGTAAATTTAACATGCTTACATGTAAGACCTGCAAAGAAAGAGAGGAAAATACATCAGACCTCGACCAGACTGCAAGCGGACAGTCCTTCGTCTTCACTGGCATTAACCAGCCGATAACTTTTCATGGTGCCACAGTGGTACAGTACATCCCTCCACCCTACCCAGCTCAGGAGGGCATTGCTGTGAGCCCTGGATACCTTCACCCAGTGCTCAGCTGCTGCGGTGCTGTTTCCCCCAGTGCCTCATCAATTCCCAGCCCGGGGTCTGCTCACTTCTGCCCTGCCTACCCCCTGGATAACCTGGCTTTTACCGGAGATGAGAACTACGCTGCTTATCCTGCAGAGAATACCAGGGATCAGAGGTACTTCTTCTGAAATGCTTTGGTGTGTTAAGACACAAGCTTATGACTATTTCAAGTGCTGTGTGTGGTTTCAAAGGAAAAAAAACAGTAGACCAGGGTGTTATCCTTCTTCAACAGCTGGGGTTTTGTTCTTTGTTAGGAGTATTTCTTGGGTAGAGACTATGGAGACATACTCTTTCTGGAAAGCATTATTATCCAAATTAAATTCAGTTATGAATCCCTTTCAATTTTCAGTCTACTAAATCTGTTATTTTTGAAGATACTGTTGCTCCTGTTCCAGGGGGCGGGGGGGAAGGGGAAGCGGTTGTATTTATCTCACTAACTTTAGACTGTTGACCAGAAGGTTATTTTATCTACAGCCAGAAGGCTGTAGAGGCTTCCACTCTATCACAACACACGAGTCAGTGCAAAAACACCATTTGTAGAACAGTGCAAGAATAATTTTAGTACCAGATGTTCTCATTCCCATTACCCTTGGTTACAACATGCTCCTTTCCCACTGTAGCAACCCTGCAGCCCTTACCTTTTTCCTAGTTCTGGGGCATATAAAAGACCACTGATATTACAGAGCAGTACAAAACTGCTTTAATCAGACACTAAATAATTTTATATAGTTCATTTCTCTAAGGAAAATATTCTTATTATAGGAATTACTCTAGAATTATATCCTTCCTAGAACAGAAGTCACTTTTAGTTCATTTATCAAAGTCTCTTTGAAAAACTGCTGACTGACCCATTGTTCTCACCACTATGTGTGACAGGCATGGGCAGCATCAAAACAAAGGTCACCTCCTGACGCAAAAAGAACCAAGCAAACAGTTCAATCCAAGTAAAACTTCATCTCACAGCATTTTCTCAAGAAGTCAGGAGGTGCTTTGCTCAGATAAGGCAGGCAGAATGCAGCACTGAGGTTACTTGCATGTTCTGTGTTTACTAAACTCTTTTTTGCACTTGCTTCCCTTCCCATTTTTAGGTCAGAGAACCATTCTGATGAGCCAGAGGAACTGCTAGGAGACTACGCCTGTGGTGACTTGTCACCTCCACGTTATGAGGAAATATACCCATTCTCTTCATAAAATAACTATGGACAACAGACAGTGATTCTAAGACACACCAGCTTTTTAATCCCAAAGAATCTTTTAACACTTGCATGGTAAGCAAGTGTGAGCAAAATCTTGTTACCGATACACAGCTCAGTGTCACTGAAGATATTTAACCAATTCCTTATTTTTCTCAGAATTCATTAACCCTTTGCTATGCAATTGAATAGCAGAGCTATTAATTATTTAATAGCAAAATTATTAATAGCAAAGCTATTAAACTCAGGGATCTAAATCCGTATTAGGATTCCCCAACAAGAAGCCTGATTTTCAGATTTGCTGACCGGTGTGGACTGTGAATGCACAAGATGTTTGTGGAAGGTCATGACTGCTCCTGCACATTCATCATCATTAGAATACACTTGATTTATTCTTGCTTCATTTTCCCTCTTGATTGCTTGGGAAACTTCAAAATGCTCAAGCATCTGATCCATGAAATTGCTTATAAAGTCTTAATTCTGTCTGATTCCATAGACCAGCTCATTCATTAATAAGTGCAGTGTACAGACGAGACTTCCTCTGTTTGGTCCACCTGTACAGCCCAGTCCTACAGGCATTTTTGGAGCACTCTTCTTGAACCAGAACAGAGAAAATATAAACAGTGACTCAGTTGCCTTCATCACCTTGAGGGGATGCAAAGCACTGTCTCTCACCAGGATTCCTAACAACTACTAGGTTAACGTCCCTAAAGGAAATGGGACCTTTCTGAACCCTTGACAGAGGGGTATGGTACTACCAGTTTTAAAGCCTTTGGAAACTGCATCTTCTCACTGCTGCACTCTCACTCTATGGGAGTGGTGGTCCTGAGGTCCCTTCTTATTTGAATGTGGGTCCTAGCACACAGCTCAGGCTGTAGGTTCCCCAGAGCATGCAGGTAACCCCAGCGCCGCAGTGAACTTTCTTTCTCAGCTTCAACTTTTGGGATAACATGGTTCCAGGCATTGTAACCACAAATGGATTTACAGCCATATAAAACAAAGGATGAGAGGCATAAGCTCTGGTAACTTGCAATCCAGAATGAAGGTCCCAAAAAAACCTTTTCTCAGGAGATGTCTGAACACCAGAGTCATGAGAATGCCATGAGTCCTTTCATTTTTATCTTGTATTTCAACATAAGCTTCAAATTCTGCTCTTGAGCATGCCTAGAAGTGCCCTGGCCCAACCATGTCAGTATTTCCCCATTCAAGATCACCTCAGTTCTGCCCATTTCCCTCCAATTGGCTCAAACCAATGTACTTTCATTGCCCACATCTCCTGGAACAGGCAATATGCAAATTGATCTAGAGGGAAATGGTCACCATCCAGAGTAACTGAGTGGTGTGCTGCTGGTGTGCCTGCTTGTTAGTCTCGTGGCCTGGAATAGCATGGCTAAAAGCAGGTGTCCATTGTCAAATGCATGAGCTTTCTCTTACTTACCAACACAGCTGTCTCAACTCCTGCCATTTGTCATTGATCTGTGTCTGATCTCATTCCCGGGGGCTGGAGGATCCTGGTGTTGAACACAGGGAGGTTATTTGGGATGTACTTGGCAGCTGGAAGCCACTGAGTATCCATGTACGCTCACTAGCAATCAGAAGATGTAGCTTTGGATGGAGAGGTGCGTTCATAGCATTGTCCACTTGCATGGAGCTTCAGGTGCACACCCAGCTCCCTGTCCTGTATATTTAGAAGGTGCCACGAAATAAAGCGCTTTTGAGGAGCACTTGACAAACACAGTGATGGATATGATACTGACAGAGGTCGTATTTGGGACACGACTTTAACCATCTCAAACCTGGATTAATACCTGCAGTAGCAACCACTGGACAGTTATTATTATGTGTGAGGTTTTTCCCTCTAGGGAAATATGGGCCACACTGATTTTCAGCAGCAATGGCCTGGTGTTAGCAGGTAGATACGTAGTTGGAGAAAGGCAGGCAATCTGTGTTCAGCTTTATCTCTACAGGACTGAGAGAAAAGAAGATCTAAAAATACATTCATGTTTCTCTTACGGAAATCTCTTGCTCTGCTTCCAATATTTACACAGAGGTGAACTCATCCTCCCTCCACAGCAGGAAACTGGAAGGTCCCAAATTCCCAGTTAGTTCCACATGGACACATCCCCACACTTAGCACACAGTTCTGCTGACCCCAGCAGGGACTGCAGGAGCACAGAGGTCAGGCATGATGGATCCAATTGCAGCACTAGGGTCAAGATTTCTACCCAATCACCCTCCCCCACAACAAGAAAACTCCTTCAGTAAGATACCAGACTTTTGCTGCTGACCTTTTCTTCCCATATTCATTGCAGAAGCATGTTTCATGGAGTAATCATAGCTTCATTTTTATGACATCAAATTGTACTATCAGAGTAAATATGAGAAATCCAGAAGGTTGCACTACAAACCTCATATTGGTTTTAAAGTTTACTTCTGTAGACATCAAGTTCATTGAAAGAGCCCTGGGTTTATTTTTAGAGAAAATGTTGAACAAATAAATTTTAATAGTGATGTATTAAAATCTTGACCCATCAGATGCATTCTGCCTGAATTCTGTAAGAGACGTTTCATGTTGCACAGATATTTGAGAAGCTTCAGTCTGACATTTCCTTGCTGTACTGAGTGCTAATTACTGTTTTTAAGAACAGAGATGTATTCTAGGAAGGCTTTCTTCCTTCTCTTCCTTCCACCTTCTACCTTCATACTTTTTTCTATTTCGACACCCTTTTATATCTTTAGGGGGGGTTTGCTTTTCTTACTGCATCCTCAGTGGTATAACCATCACATGAATTCAACAGTCACCATTATGTTCTTTTTCTGTTCTGCTGAGTGAAAGAACAAACCTATTTGTCCAGACCTTCAACCAAGGTGAACTGACACAGCTCTGTTAGATTGCACTGATTCAACTCCTCAAAGCACCCAGAAGACTGTGTTTGAGATTTTGTTCAATCCAATTTTCATTCAAACCAGTGCTCTTTAAGCAAAATTGCCTTGTCCCACGTTGCCTGCCATACAACTGCAAACCCGCAAAATAATGCCTTATTATGGTTAGATGTGACTCAAATTCTAGCCATAGTGACAGAATGTTGTATGTGATTTCACAAAAGGCACCTGTTTCTGTCGCTGATGCGCCTGTGGAAGTCCCTGCAGCACATACCTGAGCAGAAAGCCTGCACAAGCCACTGTTCAAAAGTAGCAGTGCTCAGATCCTGCAAAGAGTTATTTTTAAACTGAATCGGGATTTAGGAAAATGGGGTCTTGGGAAAAAAATAAACCTGTAAGTAGGGCTTGTTCCTTTCCAGAGCCCTACTTGCGCACAGGGCACACCTGCAGCACAGGGGCCCCGCGGGATGCTCAGGGATACAGCGCCTTGGATTCTGTGGTGACCCCAAGCATCCTATGGTGACCCAAGGGGGCCAGGCCGCCTCCCCCTGCCCCGGCCGGCGTTCGGGTGATGGAAGGGTGATTAGTTATTGAAACAGGCTTCCCAGGGAAGCGGTGGAGTCACTGTCCCTGGAAGTGCTCAAAAACCCTGTAGATGAGACCTTCAGTGATGTGGTTTAGTGGAGGTCTTGGCAGTGCTGGGGTAATGGTTGGACTTGGTGATCTTAAAAGTCGTTTCCAACCGAGCTGATGATATGATTCCAGGATTCTACAATTCCAGGTTCAGCCCGAGAGCAGTCGGAGCTGCTCGCCCGGTCACCTCCTCCCGACCAGCGCCTCCGGCCCTGCCGGTGCCTCTGGCTGCCGCCAGGGGGCGCCAAAGTGCCCGGAGCGGCAGCGCCCTGGTCGGAGTGGCGGCGGCGGCACCGGAGCGGGGCGGCGGGGCCGGGGCCGTCGGGTGCATCCGCAGAGTGCGTTGCTGCTGTGCCGGGAGCTGCGTCCGCTTCGCGGCTCGGAGAAGCCGCGGGCCCGCCCTTCTGTTCACCCGTTCAAGCTGAAACTGGGCGGGTTTAAAACGACCTTGTGTCCCCACTGACTCGCGCTGTGGCGAGGGTGCAGAGCCAGTACGTTCTAGCCTGCTGCCTTGTATGCCACCTGGCTTTTGAGCCGCGACAGCTGAAGGCTTTGTCCCTTAATACAAGTGCTAAAGATGCCATTAAAAAGTATCGTGAGCTCCTACACGACTGAGATTTTGAGGGAAAATAATACCTGTGGTGAAAGACCCAGCAAAATCACTGAAGAACTTAGTACCCCCACTCTCACAGGAGTGGGAATCTGGAAGGACTTCAGCATAAGGAGGTAAGCTGAACAGTGCACTGGCATCCACCCTTCTCCTCCTCATCCCTGTGTCTGATCGGACAGACTTCCTTCTGCACGAAGTAGCAGGAGGAGTCCAAGGGTCATTTGCAAAGAACTAGGGCATGCTGTTTGTATACAGCACGTAAGGTAATCTTTGCCTGCTGCAAGTATCATTATTGACACCACTTTAGCTGTCAAAGTGAATAGACATCAGCAGGACATGCTGAACATTGCTATATTGCTGACCCATCCCCAAGTGTGAACCGCTGTGTCTGGCAGAGGAGCATACAGCACAGCCAGGTGGAACCTTATAGGCTGTGCTTGCATTAGCTGAGCAGCACTGCTCAGCAGGAGTGTGGCAGCAGGTGTGGAGAGCCCAGTGGCCTCATTCACTGCATGTTTCAGAGGTTTGTTTCAGACTTTGTCCTGTGCGCTTAATGCCAATCAGCAGCTGAAATACACAGGTTGCTCTTCTAGGATGTATTTTCTGGTTCAGCTTCATCCAGTACGCATTATTCAGCTCAGATCTGTGACATGATGCAAAGCCTCACAGGGCAAGTGCGGACCTCCGGGAGAGTCCCTTCAAAAGCGTGTGATTTAGAAACATTCATTGCCATGCAGGCATGGGGTGACTTGCAGCAGCTGCAAGAGTTGCATGCGCTGCGCATGTCCACAAGGAGCAGACCCTTGTGGACCTACATATATGAGAGGCTTGCCTCAGTTTACTGACAGTAGTGAGCTCATGGGGGACCTTTTACTGATGGAGGTTACTTTGAGAGTTCTCAGGGCGCAATATTAACACCTCCAAAGTTACATGGAGTCTAATTCTGAGATGTATCAGGCCTGTGTCTATCTTCCTAGGGTACATTTACAAAGTGAATGGAGAAGTTTTTATGTGGGAAACAAGCAAAAATGTCTCTAGCTCACGTGGTCAGTCAGCAAATGCCTTCCTGAACCCTACTCATAATGATAACAGCACAGGGTTATATATGTGCCATGTGTGGCAACTTGAACTAGCAATTGGAGGCAGCTACACATGCTACATTCTATTTAGCAAACACCATGGGACATACTGCAGCAGAGTAACTGCTGTACATCTTATATAAAATCCTAGGATGAGGTTATTGCTCTCCTATTTGGGTTATAATGTCTCAGATATTTTATTTCTTTTTTTAAAGATAGTGGATGCTTTTTGTTTATTTTTGCATCAGTCTGTAGGGCAGACACTGTGCTAGCTACTTAGGGA